CAGAAACATTAAATAATTCATGTAATTTTCTTGATCAAAATTACCAATAATTAATGAGATACATGTAGTTAGTATTTTTTCAGATTTTTATGTAGATTTTTATTGAATATTATGAGAGAGCAAATATATTTTCATTAAAATGTTAAAATTACATTTTAATTAAAAAAAGTTCAAAAGTTGGAAACTACCTAAACTTTAATTCTCATGAACACAAAAATAGTTTTGAGTTAAGCAACCTGTTTTGTGTATAAATAAATCGATATTGGGAGACCTCTAATTCATTTCATATTTTCTTTGCAGCATTGACACATTTGAAAAGTTTGTAAATGACTTCTTAGACAACAAACTTGAACCATATATGAAATCTGAGGCTATCCCAGAGAACTCCGAAAATGCAGTTAAGGTAGGTGAACTTTAAGTTTGGCTATGAGATGGTGTCTTATTATCAACATTTGTGGATTATAATTACCCTTCACCCCATATTGAAACTTGAGAAGTGAGGGATGCCATCTTTTAAGTCACTGGATTTAATCCCTACACTGGGTGAAAAATACATCATGAGATTTATGTTCCCAGGACCCCAAAAATCAGAATCATCATTTACCCCCCGTTCTAATGAAACTAAATTAATGCTTCCACAACTCGTCTTTTGAACAATGTCCCTATATCACAATGACCATGTTTGCTGAACCAAAACTAAAGGAAAACCAATAATATCCAAGATTTTAATAAAATAGATGAATAGAAACTCCCAATTATAAATATTTGATTCTCTGAAAGGTTTCCAAAATGTATTTTCACTTTTTGTCTCACTTTTTGTATTTTTCTGGATCTTGAGAGTCCTGTGCATTCTATGTGATTTTAATCCAAATTATTCAGTAGATCACCAGAGCCTTAAAATTATGTGCAGTTTACAATGTTGACTTTCAGGTTGCAGTAGGCAAGAACTTTGCAGACCTTGTAGATGATGAAACAAAGGATGTCCTAATTGAATTTTATGCACCATGGTGTGGACATTGTATGAGTCTTGAACCAAAATACAATGAGCTGGCTGAAAAGGTACAGTGTTGATATTTATCTGAAAATATCTGAAAGGGACCAAAATAAAGCCATAAAGGGCCATTAATTTCAAGTCCATATGACTCTAAAATCTAAATACAAGTTGTAAAAAGGAACATTACATTCGACAAATCAACATTAAACTCAAAAATATGGGAAAGAATTCTCAGCATCCGAATGACCCCTAAACTAAAAATCAAAGGCTGCCCCAACGCTTTACAATTTGCCTATCAAGAGGGAAGTAGTAGTCAGTTCGCACTCTTCGCTCTCAAAGAGATCATACTTCACTACAAGGAACGTGACTCTATGGTATTTTCGGCATTTCTTGACAATCGTAAATGTTTTGATTTATTGTGGAGGAAAGGGTTATTTCAGAAAATATTCTCACTCGGTATCAATGGAGTAACATGGAGGCTAATCGTAGAAAGTTATACTAATACCACTGCACGTGTATTATACAATGGCTCATTTTCCCGGGAATTTAGTATTTATCAGGGAGTTGGACAGGGAAGAGTGACAAGTTCGATTTATTTTTTGATCTATATTGACGCACTCATAACTGAGCTTAAGGAAGCGCATTCAGGTCTTAAGATAGGTTCGTATGATATTCCGTGTATTTTGGTGGCAGACGATACTACTCTTCTAGCTTCCTCTGCGCATAATTTGCAAGTTCTGTTAGACATTGTATTTCGCTACAGTTCAAAATGGCGTATGGTTTACCACGCTGGTGATAACACTAAAAGCTCAATTTTGACATTTAATGAAACAAAGCAACAGTTTTTTCGAAGCAGAGGTAGTCGTCAGTGGCTACTAGGGACTGATATAGTACCTGAAACTCAAAGCACAAACTATGTAGGTAACCTTATCACTACTAACTTTGAAACCGAAAATCTGGTTAACAACTCAAAAAAGAAAATGTACTCAAAATTTTATTCGATCAAAAACACCTTGCGTTTACATAAATTTGGCGCTAATCCACTTGTGTTCATTAGACTATGGTATTCTATTATATTACCCACTGCATTATATGGTTGTGAGTTATGGTACAACTTGTCACCGCATGATGAAGATATACTGAACACTGCTCAAAAACATATATTCAAAGTAGTTCAAGGTTTTGAAGCGAGAACGGCATCAGACGTTGTTCTGGCCACTCTTGGTGCAATATCTGTATCGAGCTTCATTGAGAAATTGAAATTAAACTTTTTGTCAAGATTATGTCGATGCACTCATGAAGTTACAAAATACATATTCCTGTTTAGATTCTCGTCCCTACTCACAAACCCGGGAAACAATCACTTTGGTTTTGGTAAAGACGTCATGAGCATTGACTGTGATATTGCACGGAGTGTTGCAGAAACCTTCTTGCTTACCGGCTCAATTATGAAAACAGTTTTGTTTAAAAAAGCATCGCATTTCCAAATTTTCAACAGAGAGGAAAATAAGTGGCTTTCAAGAATGGAAGCCAATGATAATCTGCATATTTTTAGGAACATTCACTGTAAACTGGAACCAAGCTTCGCCTGGGTCGTTGGAAAACGATACCCATCATATCTATGGCAATTAGCCAACCTGGTGCAGCTTTCTGCATTGCCTTCATATAAGACATTCACATGTAAGAAATGCAACTCATCGTGTAATTGTATAATATTTCATTTTCTGCATTGCAATCAATTTTTATCTGAGAGAGACGCATTTTTTGAGCGACTCATTGATATCTTACCAGTTCAAGATAGTGTTATGCTTTTCAATTTTGATGATGATATTTTCTTACAGACTGTTCTGGGTAGCAGAATAGATTTTGATGTAGCCAATGACACCATTTATGAAATGTTCGTTATCGAATGTGCAAATACATTTTACAATATAAATATGTATTTCAAATAGGTACGCTTGAATTGTAATGATAAAATGTATTTAGAGTCATTTAACTTGTAAATATGTAAATATTAATAACCCCTTACTATTCTGTAATATATGTTTGTAATGTGATATGCATGTATAAATTGTTTTGCTCTCCAATAAAACGGAGGAAATAAAGAAACATAAACATTGATGGGTTCTTATATGTGTCATGATCAGTTTATTGGAGGTGCCTGAATCTAAAAATATGAGATGTAAAAATATAAACCGTGGGTTTTTTGGACCCCTATAACTTGTGTTTGTGAGGTGTTAGCATTTATCCTTGAAAAAACCTTGATTACATTATTTCAATTGTTTGTTGTCTTATTGTAGCTTGCCAAGGAGGAGAGTATTGTAATTGCCAAGATGGATGCCACAGCCAATGATGTACCCCCACAGTATAATGTCAAAGGGTAAGGAATTGTCTCTTACTTGTATGAATTATTTCAATTTTCATTTTATATATTTTATGAAGACTGGGAGCATTTGCAAGTACATTGTCTATGTGTACTTTATATGTGAAAAGGCTATGGTATTAATTGCAGTGATCTACCCACGCAGCACCAACCTGAGATTTTGAAAATAGGCTTGCACCCACCTGAAAATCCATTTGCACCCAGTTGAAAATGAGAAGTCATGAAAAATTGTCCTTGTTATTTCCAGATTCCCAACAATCTACTTTGCTCCCAAAGGAAACAAACAGAACCCAAAACAATACAATGGTGGACGTGAAGTTGATGATTTTGTCAAATATCTTGCAGCAGAAGCAACAGAGGAACTAAGTGGATTTACTAGAAAGGGAAAAGCCAAGAAGGCCGAATTATAAAAAAACTCAAAATAAGATATTTAATTGAAATTCGAACCAATATTAATCTCACTTGTACCATTCCTGAAGTTTTAGAACATTCAAGGACAGAGCAGATGTAGATGTATTGACTGCAATTTTAAATCAACATCTGTGATTTGCAGATGTAGATATAAAGCTGTAGTTTAGTTATAACAGTATATGAGCTATCCATAAATAGCTATCTTATCACCATCCTGAAGTATGGAGATTTTTTCTTTTCCCAGAAACTACCATTTTAATTTACAAAAAAATTTCTGAGAACAAGAAAGAATCATTCATACTTGTATTTAGCATAATCGTAGATATCTTTTCTCAAATATCACAATCTCTGATTTCTTTCATTAAATCAGTTGTTAAAAACATTGATTTTATTTTACTAAATGAAAGTCAATTTGACAAATTGTTGAACAATATTGCATATTGCCAAATGTCCGATGGGCCATGTATTATTTTTACTTATATGTAGAAGTAATTCTTTTCATTATGTTGTAGTTGTCCGTGTATGTACCTAGTCCGGTCATGGTCATCAGTCATATCATAGGTAAACCAGAATAATGGAAGTCATAACACTCATGCACAACTCATCTGTCAATCATCTTTTTTTATTGTACGCAATTCAGATATCAGATATTGATCAATAAATGCTCATTACTGGTATTCAGACATGGTTTTTCTGTAGCCTGCACGTCAGTATATTGTAATATATAGGACTGCACTTCATTGTACAACAGTGTAACTTAAGTACGTTCATGATCTTTATGTTTTTTCTTATGTGAGTTCTTGGTATTTAGCCCAGGGCACTTATTTGAACATGTTGAATCCTAGATTTCAGTTTCAACTTTGAAAAGCATATGAGGATTTCTACTAAAAAGATCTTTCAAAACCAGGCCTATAAAAATGAAAACCCAGTGGGCCCACTTTTGGTATAGGGATTGACGTTCTCTTTTACAAAGAGCACTTAAGTGAGACACCATCTGATCTGTATGAGGGTAACATAAAAATCAACATCATCAAGTAAAGTATTGTTTGAGAGAAAGTGGATCAAACAATGTGGAGTTCGAAAGTTCTATGTGATGTCACACTTAACCATGATGTCACATTTAACTTGAAGTTTAATAGTGTCACATAACACTATTATTGTGGTATTACTGAAACTTATACTTAACTAGAGTGTTTTCATAAATAAAGGGAGGATAATTCTTCTTAAAAATATAAACATTGGTTAGTTTGTTTGTTATGTTTATTTACAACTCTGGTGAATAGGTGACCTATTAAAAAATGTACAATTTGAAGAATATTTCTTTACAATTCTACACATTGACATCCTTACTAAATAGCCTATATTGCTTTTGCAAAATATATACAATACAATGCATGAGTATGTCCATTCTAAGTAAAATAAATCGAAAAATAGCCCATGTTATCAGTGGATTTCTAATAAGAATAGTTATGTTTATGACGTTGACAACAGCACCAGTTGGTCCATTCAAATTAGTTAGAATCAAATGGTAAATAGTCTACATTTGGAAAGTTTGGGGATACTTCCACTAGACCCCATGCAACTATTCCATTAAAAGTAAAGCAATACCACATTCATTTTATCTTACACCCTCGATAGGTTCTTCGGAATTTACGTGGAATTTGTTCAAAGGCTATTTGGAAAATAATCCTATCATTTCTTATTAAAGTTTGTTTTGATGTGCTCCATTGCTTTGACATTTTCTGTGTCTAACGCAGCAACTGGTAGGAAGTTAACTGTATCAACTTGAAGGTTTGTATGTTGTCTTAGTGTCCAACCATCACTGGAGTCTTTTATTCCTGATATGAATTGATAGGTGGTGACACCTGAAAGCAAAGGAAACATGGGAAACGAGTTGAAGTATTAAGATATACGAGGGTTGTCCAAAAAGTCTTGACATGTTTGCTCTTATTATATCAATTTTGTTCTTTTGGCATATTTCACATGGATGATGCTTAAATATTATGTAAGTATAGGGAAATGTTGACTTGAGTATATGCGGTCAGTTAGTTTCAGTTTGCTATTCTCGTATATTTGCATGTTAACGCCATGGATAAGACTGATAATTTTGTTTTGTGTGGCAGGATGCGACTATTCTTGTTGCTTTTAAAATGATTTCATTTCCATTTGTATTGATATAAAACAGAACACCATGGATACACGGAGACGGACTCCAAAATCCACTGACAGCTTCGTTCGAATACGATAACGTGGACTGCACGAATATAAACTAAGAGAAATTCTCCATCTAAAATGTCACTCGACTTTTTGGCAATTAAAAGTCCCTGCCTGCATTTAGTAGTCATATATTGTCATGTGCATAATTTTGAAACCATATCCTAATTATTTCACAAACCCTTTGTTGATTCTGCCATAGTTTCCAATTTGTAAACAGCATTTAGCCTTTTTAATTGGGAACTTTTTTGAAATTTCCAAAATGGCTGCCATGTGATTCCAGAATTAACATGAGTGTGACGTGACATCACAGTTGCTCGTTCCTAGGTAACAACAAGATCACAATTGCTCGTTTCTAGATAGCAACAAGATTTTTGATAAAATGGCACAGAATTACCCTGATTAACACCCTTAAAATCCGATTTTCAAAGAATATATTTGGAGAAACAATAAAAGGTAAGTGGAATAAATTAGAAGATGGTTTCAAGTTACCACAGAAGTCAATTTGATACTCAAGAATGCTTTCTTTGACTCATAATCACAAAAAAGTCGAGTGACATTTTAGATGGAGAATTTCTTAGGCTACACCTGTTAATCTCTGGATTCACCTTTGATGAACAAGCTAACCGTGACGCTTGACGTGAACCCGGGAACGTGAATTCTAATTAACAGTATATCCCTGTTTACCTTTCAAATATTTTTTACCCTCCACTTCCCAGTCGTACACATAGACAATGACCCTGTTCTCCGGACTGACTATTACAGCTAACGACATGACGAACTCCTCGTAGAGATCCTTATAGTTAAAGGTGACGTCCCACGTAGACCTCTCGTCCCCCGGCCTACCGCCACCCTGATGATATGACGTCTGTTCAACGTTAACACTGGAATATACATGTAGTTTAATTGAGAAGACCTGGACACATCCATGCATATACAATGTACACTCCCCTCTAGAAGTATGGTAACCGGGAGTTTTCACTGGATAGTATATTGATCAAAGCCTGTCGATGCTTGAATCTTAATTTCATTCCTCAATTACTGGGGTTTGGGAAATTTATGACAAATTCGATGACTTTTCTGAATCAAAACATAAACAAGCATTCATAAGTGATCCAAAGAGATTTCTGATTGCCAAGCTTATTGTGAGGAGTGTATATATAGATATACATATAACTTATGAGGGGAGTGTATATTCACTTTGATTGTATTTGTAGAGCAGAAATTTACAGAGCCTATTGTCAGCCGAATACATGTTTCATCATGACACTGAACAGTCTTATGCAAAGTTGGAACCTGATGCATCATTGATTTCAATCTGCGTCTATCTACGCTATGTGTAATGCATTTCAGGGCCAGGTTGAAAATGGAAATTCGTGAAATCGACAAGAAATTAAGTATAAGTTATCTGCTAACGACAGCTGACAAGACAAAATATGAAGGTTGTTAATTTTTTGTAACTTAGACTGAGGCTCATGAATGGGATGACCCTAACCTTACCAATGTTCCATCATGCTCCGCCAATTATCGGGTTCTCGTAAGTAAAAGAATACATCCTTTTCAAGGGCTGCATCCGTGAAGTAAATGCTTCTCTGTGTCTGCAGGAGTTCTCTACCTGTATCTAGCGTCTCCTCAGATCTAGAACTAAACTTAATCCAACTGATCGAATACCACGATATAGCAACAAGTATTAAACCAATGACGCCAACTTTCACAATCCGCTTGAAGATCGATTTGGATCCGTTGCTATGGTTACCTTGAGTTTGCTTTCCAAATGTCGAAAAGTTATCGTATGATCCGCTGGACCTTTGCCGTATGTCAGACATAACGGAGAGTATTTTATTCATCAGATTGTTGTTGGCTTCTGAACTATTTCCACCGACTTTCTCTCAGATGTATCTCCTTCACGACCAAGAGGAATCATTAGATAACAGTGGCAATGAACTGGTAAAACAATTCAGCTATTCTGTTCTATTTATTTACCATACTGGGATCCAAGTTGTTATGCTAGTTCACCAGCAGCAACTTATTTTTTATTTGACCTTACTATTACAGTTGTAGTTATGCCACGTGTAAAGTTATCATTTAGCGAAACTGTTTTGAGCTTATAGTCTCGTTTATCATAAGGACGCTGTTACTATAGCAACATGTACAGCAGTAAATAAGATTCGTTTTTGAGCTATTAAATGAACACAGCTTGTGAACGAGTAGACGATATCAAATGCTTAACATTTAAATGAAAAATGTCAAAATCAGATTGGAAACATGTGTTACGACCTACTTGATCAAATGAAAGAAAATCCGAACACAAAGTTGTTACTGCAGAATAGGAGCGAAGGAACTTTAATCAAGATGGCCGGGGGAATATGCTTCCATTGTATACTATACTTCATTTCACAGTTTCATTTAAAATGTCCGAAAGAATGTATCTCTGTAAACTTTTTTTTTTTTTTTTTTTTATAATTTTTTTTATTTCAAATAAGCATGTAAACTTTACTGTGGTATTCCAATTGTTTTTTACCCGTTAGTTGATGTATTGTAATGGCCTTCAGTATGCATGAACGCGCAATTGGTCTTTTTTTACTATATTGGATGATATGATTTATGAAACCCAGAAAACTAGTTTTGAGTTTTAAATCTTCCAAATACCCTGGATTGAACGAACAGGCCTCGGATATCGAGAGTATGACAAATATTGACGTTAACATTTTTTATATTTTGTAGCAATTAAAAAACAAGATTGTTGTTGCACGAGGCAATCTGTTTATTGTTGGTACACGGGGGAACCTGTAGATTGTTACACGAGGGAATTCGTAGATTTGTTGTTACATGAGGGAATCTGTAGATTGTAATAAACGAGTGAATCTGTTAAGTGTTGTTACACGAGGGAATTTGTACATTGTATTTACAGGGAATCTGTAGATTGTTTTTACACGAGGGAATATGTATAGTGTTGTTACATCAGAGAGGGAATCTTCAGATTGTTGTTACTCGAGGAAAACGTTAAAGGGTTGTTACACGAGGGAATCTGTAGATTGCTGTTACACGAGGGAATCTGTAGATTGCTGTTACACGAAGGAACTTGATTGTTGTCACTCGGGGAAAACTTTATATTGTTGTTACACGAGAGAATTTCGTGATTGTGTTCTTGAGTAGATCGATGAATAATATGCATTTCAAACAAGTAATTAAATAAAATAAAAGCCAGTGTTTTATAAAGATGGCATTGCAAAGAGAACTTTCAAATCATCCCACACACTGAACTAGATGACAACGTAGCGCTATGAAGACGTGCGATTAAAAGATAGCGCTTATTTCAAAAGCCCATTTCAAAAGATAATTTCGGCAACTGAAAACAGCTTTTCAGCATCATCATGCAGTGGAGAAAAGGTAATTTTAAGGCAGATATACGTATCCCTTTTATACATCCATTCTGTAATCAATGCGCAACTCCGGTTATCAAATCTGGCTTGCCTCGATTCTTGTGGTGATTGAAGTTTGAAACGCAAGATGAAAAACTAGTACTTTCCGAGGTGGTCTGTGTTATAGTTTGTAACATACGATAAACCAAGGTCAGCAGTATGAGTTTGTTAAGGTAAGTTAAGGACCCGGAGGTAAGTGACGTTCTAGAGCAATACTCATAGCGCAAGTGGAAGGTACGAAAATCCCACCCGTCGAGTATAAATGCAACTCCAACGCCAGAGGGGACGTAAACACTAGAGATCACGAGTAAATCAATGGCTGGTTTTGTTGTATTTCTGTTCTTATAACGTTTCATAATGCCCCTAACCCAAATAACTTATAAAAGTATCCGAAGAAAGCATTATCCTATAAAAAACGGACAAAAAAGAACATATTTTCCAACCACGAATTGCCTGAAAGGATTTACTGTTTGTCCAACGTTTTAGCCCAATAAATAAATTATCCATATCAAAGTAAAATGGACTTGACTTTTGGAATGACCCGCAGCAAGGATAGTTCAACCTGTAAATGATTTATAACAGTTTGGAATATAAAAGCTAAAAATCCAAAGCGTAAACCTGAGCAAACACCCCCATCAAATATGACAGCATGTTCAGAGGAAAAACAAAACCACATTGATGTTTGTCGTGTCATAAGCTCGACATGTAAATCTTTGATCATACGACGTTCTGAATTTGTTTCTGATGGCGAACGTTGTTTTTATCGCTAGATCAAAAACAGACGTTTTGTCTGATTCAAATGCATAAACACATTGCAGATCGAGATAACAAAAATAAGCAAATGAAAGCCTGAAATCGGTCACATCTTGTTCCAAAACAGGTATAATTACCTTTACACGAATAAACACGTTTTTATCAAATGTTGAACAGATCGGCCAAATGTTGTCTGTATACCACTCCTCATGTTGAACAAATGGAACCAAAATTGGAATCTGATATTTAAAACATTCGTTTTATTTTGAGCTACTTAGTGAACTATTATTTCCTGATGCGTCATGCTTTATCGGAGATTAAAGCCCTCTGTTACACGACTCTAGGCCATGTGGTTTGCATAATCACAAATTGCCGGCGTGTTTTGAGTTTTGCATCCTACACATTGTGATATATTGGCTGACATGTTACGTTTTCTCTCCCGATTGGCCTGAATCGTAGCAATGTTTACTATTATACCATCTGTGTATTTTCAAACTATTACATCTTATCCATCTATCCAAATCTTGAAATTAAACAAAACAACGTAACGTATTATTAAGAGCCAATTTGCGAATTATGTTTCGTTAAATCAATCAATTTTTATATTTTCATATTCAGCCAGTTACGGAGTGTCGAACCTTTCGAATTGATGCATTCATCATAACCTATTTACTTTATTTTTGACTTAAAAATTGCCTCATTGGAAGTTCATCTTTTTGAGAAACATAACAAAGATGAAAAATAGCAAGAATTGGCTCCCGGGATCGAAACTCGATATTTTCAAACAATGAAAACGTCAAAATGTCGTTATTTTCTGAAATTATAACCGACTATAAATTCAAAATAAACAGTGCAAAAGATTCGAACCAATATTTCGATCATGTATTGTGAGTTTTGGAATTTTTCGTTTGAAAATAGGACCAAAATTCACGATTCAAATGTTGAAGTGAACAAAATGGCGGCTGTTTGAATTCGAATTTTGTTTCACGCCATATCGATGTTGCACTCTGGGAGCCAATCCTCCTTGGAAAATTAGGGCTAAACAAAAAGGGCCCCTTTAAAAATGTCCCATTTTCCTTGCATTGTCAAATACAACGGAAGTTCTACAAATGAGAAACTCAGTAACGTCACGTAACGTAACGTCAGTTACGTCACGTCACGCCAATAACGTTTTCTACCGATCACTTTATATCAACATTTATTTCGTGTCTTTATTGAAATTACTAGCCAAAGTAAAAGCAACAATAAATCACGTATACATGATAAGTGGGATTTAGGGTATGGGTGAGAGATTCCAGGGATAGTTTTGGTGGGGGTGGTGGCATGAACCCCACGTAGCGCTTTTATTATGGACAACAATCCTTTACACGATTTCACATTCCTGCGATTCTTTAAAACTGCTTATTAAATAAACTTGAAAAGTAGAGTCAGAATGCTGCTCTGATTGGGCCAGAAAAGAGTAGTGACTCACTGGAGAAAGTTAAAGGTCTCCAAATATACAGAACTTTTATTGAATAAAGTCTGGCGCACTTCCATGCACAAGATAAACCTGCCAGAAAACCAGTTGCCGCATGCTTTCCTCATGAATGCGTTCCTTCAAAACACATACAGATTATATTATTATAACTCAATGAGTACTATTAATAAACAAATTGATTCATTTTATTCTAAAACTTTCAATAATTGTGGAACGCTTGGATATACTGTTTCCATTTTGCAGGGAGTACTTAGTGCGAATTTTCTTCATGGGCTTGCAGACTTTAATTTTATCAAAAGGGTCGCACAATTTTTGTTTATTTGACAAAACACATTATTGTGTAAACAGAGTCAAGTACTTTGACACGCAGGCTAGCAAAGGACATGAGGAATACTAATTTAGATTACTTTAAAAAAGTGCTCGCTACACCGTATGTAGCAGTATTAATGAATAATAGATTTTATAATAATAGAATAACAGAATTATTCTTACCAGGGATTACAGAATAATTCTGTAATCCCTGATGAGAATAAGGACCAATAGTCTGTCCTTTTAGGCCTCATTTTCGAACTAATGCTTCTTGAAAACATGGGCCTCAATTTTTGCAAAAAGATGCTAGAATTTCCAAAAATTAGTTCAATTTCTCATGAAGTAAAAATTCATCTTTAAGAATAGTTTTACCATATTGCCCATTGAGGAACCACTTCGTTATTTCAAAAATGTCCATTGCTTTTGAAAGAATATGTCTAACATTTTACTCTTTCTATTCTCTGCTGCCAAAAAACGTATCTGAGGTAATGCTGGACGTTGGAGAATGTTATCGTTACGAATCCCCAAATAAGCTTTCACAAGCTGATCCTCATCTCGCTGACATTATCGGTGAGTAGAGAGACGAAACATGCATGTTCAACCAAAATCATGTTTATACACTTTCAATCCACCCTGAAACCCCAAAGACAAGAAGCGTTAATTTATATACAAAAGATATATACAAAATCAAAACCCTTGAAAAGGTACAATCGTTCCCATAACTACACTCTGGCAACAGGTGGAAAGGGAGCGATCATTATTTCTTAGGGACCTAACATTTTTTCTGAAAAGTGTCAGTTCTTTTATTCTTAATCGGGTTTGCTTAGAAAGAAGAGATTATTTAGATTTGTCATTAAATATAGAAATTCTTTTTGGGTTCACCTGTTTAAGAAAAGGGTGGTCATTGTCGAAAATGAAACGATTGAGATCTGTTTATTCACCACTAAAAGCTAAAGTTATCTTGATGAAAGGGTTTTAATTAATTCCAAGAGCGCTCATATTCAACAAAAAACATTCACTATTACCTGTAACAACATCCGAGCGTGTAGATTTTTCAAATAGGCAACTTTAGCCGAACAATCTGGCTGACAATCGCCTGATCAGGTGATCTGTCTATGAAATGTTTGTAGTAGGTGTCAAGTAATAAATAACACGGATGTGAGGTAAGTCAATATTTAAAGCCATTCTTCTTAAATTATTGTGCTGATTACATTAACAGACGACGGTAAACATCATCTTTTTTAAATACACACGACACATAGTAGGCGTACACTGTATATCGGGTTTGTGGATGCTAAGTTCTGTCCGTCCGTCTGGTCAG